GATGTGTAGTTCTTGAGATATCAGTGGAACAGTCAGACACACATACACACACACACACACACATACACACATACAGACACACTAACTGCAAAGACTCCCTTTTTGTGCTTCGCACACGGGAGTCAAAAAAATATTAGTGATGATAATATTAGCCTATGAAGTTACTCATATCAACCAGCTCTATGAACAAGTGATGTCAGAGATAACGTCATAGTATTAGGTGCGTGCTAACAATATGGTACGTGCTAACAATATGGTATGTGCTAACAATATGGTATGTGCTAACAATATGGTACGTGCTAACAATATGGTACGTGCTAACAATATGGTATGTGCTAACAATATGGTACGTGCTAACAATATTCAATATTCTTTACATCTTTCAAGCAACAATTTCAAACTGTTCAGTGCTCCACTAAAAGAAAATCATTTAAGACGTACATACCTTTGCATGTTGTAGTACTGGTTTCCGTCGTTCTGACGATGATTCTGTGTTATTGTGTTTGGATGATTTGTTACTAAGTTGTGAAGAACCTTCCTCCTAGAGGGATACAAAAAAAAATGAAACAAGTGATTCAATTCTAGTTATATCAATTTGTATATCAATATTATTTCTGACAGGACTACAAATTATTGGCTTAATTTGGGAATATTTCTCAGATGACTATTATTCTTTGGGGGTTCGGGATTTGGTGCAAGTAAACATGTTCCTATCATTTGATAAATTAACACATTACCATGGCATCAATACTATATCACTTGTGAACAAACATTAACCCCAAAATTACATCCATTAAATGCTGAATGAATCTTGGCCAGTTGCTTTGCCCTCCCCATTGAGTCTGTTGCACACTCGCCCAGGGTACAGTGGTTTTGGCCTCCCCACTGAGTCTGTGGCACACTAACCCAGGGTACAGTGGTATTGGCCTCCCCATTGAGTCTGTGACACACTCACCCAGGGTACAGTGGTTTTGGCCTTCCAATTGAGTATGTGGCACACTCACCCAGGGTGAAGTGGATTTGGCCTCCCCATTGAGTCTGTGACACACTCACCCAGGGTACAGTAGTTTTGGCCTTCCAATTGAGTATGTGGCACACTCACCCAGGGTGAAGTGGTTTTGGCCTTCCAATTGAGTATGTGGCACACTCACCCAGGGTGAAGTGGATTTGGCCTCCCCATTGAGTCTGACGCACTCACCAAGGGTACAGTGGTTTTAGCGTCTCCAATGGGTCTGTGGCACTCACCCAGGGTACATTGGTTTTGCCCTCCCCATTGAGTCTATGGCACACTCACCCTGGGTACAGGAGCTGTGGCCTCCCCA